AGAGCGAACTTTTTTGCATAAGAATACTTGTGCAAGAGAAAAGCTAATCATAAAATCATTCATTTAATTATCTTTTGGATTATTTAGAAAAAAAATGACAACCGAACATTTATGCTTATAGAATTAGATTTTGGCGCTATCAATGATAAATGATTGCACTTTTTTAGGTCTATTGTATAACAGTAACATCTATTTGGTGTCTTTTTTTAATATAATTTTTTACTTTTATCTAAAAAAATTGTAGTAAAAAAAATTATAAATTAATACTTTATTTTAAATTTTTTGAAGAGTAATTATTCTAAAAGTAAATAATAAATTTTAATTTTTTTTATTAATTAAGGAGCAAGAAGTTTCAATTTTACTTATAATCTATACTTTTTGTTTATATGATAATTAAAGACTTTGTTTTGTAATTAAAAAAAAAATTTAAATTCCAATTTTCACATTCATTTAGTGTGATAATTTTTTTTTTAAAAATTAAAATATGATAACACAAATAAAATATAAGTTGGGAGAGAAATGAAATCTATTTTCATTATTAACAAAAAAAACTAATTTTGTTTATAATATATTAAATAATCACACAAATTTATGTTTATAAATACTTACAAGTTTAAAAAATAAAAATTATTTACCAATTAAAATCTAAAGTACCCTAAATACCATTAAGTCTCAATTTTGGTCTTATTTAATTTTCATTTTACTTTGTCTTAATTTTTATTTTTATTTTTTATGTACCAACTATTATTATGTACCAAATAATTCAATCTATAAGTATTATATCTCGTTTGAACACTAAAAATAGGAGTTAAATTAAACCCAATGGCACCCACAGGATATATATATATATATATATATATATATATCTTGGATACATTGAATAGTAATATTATTTTATGGTAAAAATTTGGATATTATTAACCATTTATAATTAGAAAATCTTAATAAATGTGGGTCACCATATTTAGAACATAATATTTTCTTACATATAAAAAAAAAACTGATTTTTTAAAAATAATATAGAGGAAAAAATATATATATATAAATAATAACTTGGGGGTTGGTGAATCATTAATTAAAAAATATATATATATTTTATGTGTGTGTAAATATATATATATATATATATCAACCAATAAAAATTCAACACATCATTTTCCACCTCATATTTTCAACCTCTCCATCCTCGTTTCTATCGACCCCCTTCCATCCATTAGTCAACTGGAAAATTTAAGTTTCGTATTTGACTCCAGTCACCATCACCTTCGTCATCCATTGCAGATTACTGACTGAACTTTTCTTCTCAACCTTTTTCCAGTTAAGTCTGTATATAACAGTAGTTTTCTATTCGTGATTTCTGTATAGTTTCTTCCGTTTCGTTACAGTAGTGAATTTTCCCATGTGAAAAAAACTATAGCTACGTAGTGGGTAATTGCTTACTATTGTAGTTTTTTTTTTTCTTTTTTACGTGATCCATGATGAGTTCCTCTCGTTCGATATTACGGTTTCCGCAGATATGGAAAATTTGTCTTCTTCTTCTTCTTCTTCTTCTTTTGAGGACAATTCGGTGAGATTCTCTCTTCTTCTGGTTTTTCTTATTTTTTTTTTGTGCTTTCTTTTTGAATTTAGGGTTTTTAGTTTTTGCATGGGCGATTAAATTTGATATATCTTACTGCTGTTATGTAAAAGACCTAGATATTCAGATGAATTTAGTAGAAAATTGAGAGCGTTGATGATTTTCAAAAGTTTTGGACTCAGGATTCTTAATCACTTGTTCGTTCAAATTCAAGTAAATCGATACGTGTTCTTATAAGTTTTAGAAAACTTCCGAGCAAACACACGCATCATCATCTATGCCCACAAAATGTAATATCAAAATTGAGGCATTGATGTGTATGATTACACTGTTGATGCATTAATAAACAGATGAATATTTGCATCCTAATTATGTGAGGACATGAAATAATCATTGGAAAATAATTCAATCATGAAAGAGATCATGAATATAAGGAGAATATATATATATATATATATATATATTATGCATGAATGGATCTATAAAGTTACAAGATTCTATTGTTTTAAGGAAAATATAACTTCATTGATTGAGATCCATCATTCTAAAAAAACTGTAATTAAAAAATTAATTATCCGTAATATTTTAATAATATTTAATCGTTTATAATATATGTTATTTGTATATACCGTAAATATATGTAATATATAGAAATTAACCGTAAATAAACATATAAAGTCAACGCTATAATTCGTATGCTAATTATTATAACTAAATATGACATTTAGTTATACCTAATAAATAAAGTTATACGTCGTGTAGAATCTTTAAAACACGATGTATTAGTTCTATTTTTCAAGTACTCGACATTTATAATATTACGTTATTGTTACAAACAATTCAAGTTTACGATCAATACTTATTTTAACTAGATTAGGAAAATAAAATAAAAATCTATTTTTTTTTTCAGATTCGTTGTGTGTTGTTACTGAAATAAAAAATTAAGTGATAAGTTTTATTATCGTTGTTTTACTTCGCTTTATTTATTTCGTTATTGAATTTTCTCTATGAAATAATGTCGATGATTTAGATTATGATCACGAAATTGAAATATTTGCATTAACATTTCTTTCACGAACACATATAAAAATCATGAATTGTATATATATGTATGTATTGATCCTATTTCTACAATGTAACTTGATACTAAACATTATAAGATTTTGTAGGTGAAAGAAGTCATCATGCTGGAAGAGAGTAACCAAAAACCAGAATGGCTTGAACCTTTTATGCAGACAACATTCTTTGATGTTTGTCCCATTCATGCATTTTTCCAGATTGAGAAGAATGCTTTTTGCATCAACTGTTGCGTAGATATTTGTCAATACTGTTTGTCTTCACCTGCTCATCGTAGCCACAAGATTATACAAATCTACAGGCATGTCTATAAAGAAGTTGTCTCAATTCCTACCATTGAAAACTACATGGATTGCTCCAAGATTCAGGTACATATAAATTTTCTTAATTATTTACTTAGTCATTTTCTTAAGTAAATATTTCATATTTTATTTGATAAATCAATATGCAAACATGAGTGACTTTTCTTTAGAAAATTAAACTCCGACATCCAATAATTCCATTGCCAAGACAAAACCATTTAGCTCAATCATCGATTTACTCCTTATCTTAATTAGAGATCTCCAAAGAGTTTTTATTCATTGAAACTTTTGCGAATAAAATATTACTCCCTTAGAATTTTCAGCACCATATAATTCAATTATTTGATATGTAGTTATGGGAATACCACTATATTTTTATAACAGTTGCTTATGATTCTCACAAAATTATTTTTTGAATTATTGAAGTTTTATGTAAACTTAATATACAAGAATGATATTACAAGAATAATGATGAAATTACTTTTAAACACAATTTCTCTTTTATTTGTGTTGCACCTAGAAACATAGGTTACAATAATAAGCTTTTTCGTACACTATTGTCGATGCGAAAGCATATTACTTTAAATATATTGCATATTTGTAGTATCTTCATTTAAATAACAAAATAACTAATATATCTATTAGTGGCTAAAATATAAAAAAAAATTATACTTCTATAAACATGCATGGAGGCACCAAAACCCTTTCACCTTATAATTGCACTCATTTTTCTTGTGACTATGCATGCATAATATTTTGTGTCTATATTGAAATTATGTGTGACTGTTATTATTTATATAAGGACTTAAATGACTTATAATTAATAGTTATATATGAACTTTCTAGATTTGAAAAGTTATGAGACTCGTAATATTAATTAAATATAAAATATTATAAATGAAAACATAATATATGCTAACTTAATAACTTTATGTTGATGCGTACTTGGGCTTTATGGGCATTGATTTTATTTGCAAAAAGTTTTCTTTGAAACGTGTGCAACTTTGATAGTGATATACATCACTTGCATGAATGATAAAAATTATAAGACTTTTATAAGTGATTGGTGAACTCTATTTAACTTTAATAATGGCCGACATCAATAATATATATCAAATTATTAGACTAGTAGTACTTACATATGAACAATATCACAATATATACCAACTTGGTATTTTCTTGGACTATATGGGCACTTAATTTGATTTATAATGAGTTTTATTTGAAATGTATATTGTATTGAACATGACATGCTAATTTCAATGATGAGGATTATGAGACTCGATAATTGATTGATAAACTCTGTGTAAAAATTAAATATACAACTGTTGTGAATTGAGTTTTAATTCTTTTAGAGACAGTGATTTACGTTTGAATAATGAGTATGATTTTTTCTTAATATAATTATTTGAATGTTTCTAGTAACATAATCAAAAAATTTCTCCACCATAAGCTCTTACTACATTTTATTTATGGCTTGTATCTTGATTTTCTCTTTAATGAACTTTTCCTTTTTGAAGAGAACATATTGCAAATCTGGTTGTATTAAGAGTTAGAACTAAGTTTAAATGTATAAGTACTCTTAAAATGAATTTCTTAATAGCGTATATATATCTTACAGAAATTATTTCATCAATTGGGAAAGCTTATGTATAACATGCATATCAATATCAAAGAAAAGAAATAATCTAATCTATGATCATGTTTCGATTCATTCATAATTTCCATGTCCCTGGTGTCTTGGATTGCATCAATTCAATGATGTATATGTAGGGTATAGCAGAAGGTAAATAATCATTTTGATTTATGTTATATATTAATTTTTCTAGAACTGATATATCTCTATGTACACACACAAACACAGACGCACATACATGAATGTAACGTAACTATATATTGATGGATATAAAAACACTCTTAGTAGGGGCTGCTTGGGTATGGTGCGTGTATGTATATATATATATATTTATTTATTTATTTGTTTTCCATGTTTCTATCTGGGTTGGTGCAGCAATATAAGTGCAACAAGAAGATGGTGTTGGCTATAAAACCCCTTCCCCATGTTTCTACTGCTGCAAGATTTGATGTAGCTTGCAGGGGCTGCGGCAGAAGACTAGCCATGCCCAGCCTTCATCTATACTGCTCTATTTCGTGCAAGGTAAACATATATGTTGATGAGACTTTAAAATTTTGATTTGAATGATTTGACTAAACTAGTTTATGTCATATTAAATCGGTTTGATTTGGTTTGAAAAAACCCTAGTATCTTGGATATACTAAGATTTACAGATTAATTGGTGACTGTACTCATTTCTTTTCATTATAGTGGAAAAACCTTTTATTTGTCTTGTCTGCGAACGTTAGTATCTTTGCAATATATATAAATTCACGTAAATATGTACATACGAATATATATATGTATATATAAATATATATCAATGATGATATTTCTGATGATGTTAAAATTAAACTTATAAAACAGGTGAAAGTATTTGACTTGAAATCAAGTTCTTCAGCTCCTCCATTTCTTTCTCCTAACAAAGTGAAAAAGAGAACTGATTCAGCACCCAAAACCAGAAAGCAACCAAGGAAAGGGATTCCTCAAAGGGCTCCATTTTTCTGAAGACTAAGGTATAAGCCAATTTCTCTCTTCAGGTTACTTTCATAACATAAATGAGTTGAATAACAATGTAAATACAATTAATTCAATTCAAATCTCTATCGAAAAATTATTCACGAAAAATTTAAAAACGAATCTATTACATTTATGAAATTTTCAAACTCGTAAGTACTAGCTCTTCGGTATTTAATAATTTTTTCTTAGTCTCGTAAATGCATGTTTTGTGATTACAGGTTATGCATGTCTTCTCTTTATCCGACCTACATGATGATTGTCAAGTGAAAAGCCTCCTTCAGAAAGAGTCCAAAGTCCTGAAAGTATATTGTGACCAGCTTGAACCCTAACTATAGTTATATATATATGTATAGGGTATATTTCTCTGGGAAATGTTAGCAGTTTATAAGTTAAGAAAGTTGGGAGACTTATTAAACTATCTGAACTAAACTGTCACCATGGCAGTTAATATGTGAACTCTTTTTAGTCTGTGTCTACATGCATATATATAGATATTATATATATGTATGTTTAATGCTGTTATATGCATGAAATTGGAGAACTGAAAAATTATTCTGTGCATACATCAGCTTCAGAACTGAATTAATATGATATAGTATATTAGGTAAAACTGATTTTTGAGATTGAATGAAGTAATGTGCTTTTTGCTCAGCTGGTTATATGAGTTTTTGTTCATGTTAGAAATTAGGTTTTGACTCTTATGTATTAGGTTGTCCCAACAAAAAAGATACAGAAGTAATTTACTTATGTTTTAGAAATGATAATAATAAATATTATGTAATAAATAATTTTAAATTTATAATTATAAATAAAAAATTTTAATTTTAAATTAATTTTTTATATTAATTATAAAAAAATTAAAATTTTATTTTTTATAGTAAATTTATTTTTTTGATATTTTTTTAAAAAATTATTAAAAATTATAATTTAAATAATTTTACAAGTTAAATGACTGAATTATAAATTAAACGAGTCCTTTTTTTTCATTTA